GGTCGTGGTATCGATAGATCATGTTGCTAAAGTTAGCATGATTAAAGATTACCTTAATTAGATATTTATTGTTATTAAGAAAATACGAACCTGCTTTTGATATCGTAGCCCAACGTATTCAGGAAGAATGCGCAGCATACATCATGTGGTACTCCTCTTTCGTCTTCAAGTTGGTAATCGTAGGAAAATTGTCTCCGAAAGTTCTGGGTAGTAGGATTCACCTGGCCACGCCGTCGTTTTACAGGGCTACGCTTGCTGAACTGCAAAACGAACGACTTTTGTTTCGTTCCCGACAATCCCCAGAACCATGAATTGATGTCAGATCTTCTGTCACGTTCAATTTTGCCGCAACACACTGTTCTGCATCCACAATCTTTCAAAATGGGCCTCCGGTCAGATAACCTTTTTTCCCGGCGCTCTGTTTTTTTCCGAGGTTCGCTTTGTTGGTGGCGCCTCGGTGCGGCTGCTACGGCTGGCTGTGGTTGTATATCGTCTGTAATCGCAGTCGGCAGATCCGGATCAATCTCATCTTCCGAGTCGGAACTACCATAGGTCAGCAGTAAATCCAGGGCACCTCTTCCGGACATTTGAATTCTTCCAAATTGAATTCCTTTTCACTATCACTGAATCTAACGAGCTTTGGAGAAAATCTGTCAACGTGACCGTGAATGTTGATACTACTTCAAACACAGTAACCTGGTTTTTACGCCAAGCTATGCGAATAAACCTTCAGCAGAACGTATGTTTGTTCGCATAACCTGGCGTATGCGTTTTTGATATGAAATAATTAAGCAATAAATCATAAAAGCCCAGCGGCCCACTTCTGACCGTTAATCTTTACCAAATGGACAGATTATTTGAATGAAATTGTTACAAAATATTGCTTTTCGGCTGCATACAACAAAAACGCGTTTTCCCACCAGTGATGCTGTTGGTGGTTACGTCGACTATAAGATTAGGGGCAGTACCTATATCTGAATAAAGTTATATTGCATCAACCGTTTCATATAATATCAAAGAAAAAAAAATATTTATCGTTACACATTTCCTCGTCACTTTCAGAATTGTCGCTTACTTTCACCATCGGTTCATGCATCGGTAGATGGAACTAGAAGCTACGCAACCCAATTTTTATTTTGGTTCCCTGCGTTTCTCCTCCAAATATTAAACAACTCATGTTTGTCAATAGTTTATAAATATTTAAAATAAAACATTTGAAAGTTTCAAACCGCGATCAAAACAAATTGCACTTAGCTGAAGAAACCAAAAAAAAATATTTCAGAGCTCATTATCGTAATTATATTCAACCGATCACGTTCGAAAGCCAATGACACATTGCTACAGACACCGGGACTCAAATAGTGGAAGGAACAAGGACCAATATCCGTTCAGTTAACCGGTTACTACAACAAACACCGAGAATCACATTCCGGGAAGAACAAGGACCACTGTTCGTTCAATCAATCGGTCACTACTAGCGACTCACCTGCCACAAGAACCACTTTTTATTCAGTCAGCCAATCACTACAATAGACACTACGAATCACTTTCTTGTCATGTCAACCGCTCACTACAGTTTCTTTGGTATCATAACTTTTACCACACGAGCAACGCCTACTTTTTTTTTCAACGCCTTCTTCGATTTAACCGAATTCGATTTTTTTTCCTTCAACACCAATAGTAAGTGACGTATGAAGGATCCTCTATGTATAAATGCTAGAAAACGATTATCTGTACACGGTTTACTATGGTTTGGTAATAAGCAGATCAGCAGAGAATACTAAAGAAGACTAATGATTTGGTATGCATTGCGCAGCATCTTAAGTATACTTTCAAATGTAATCAACTTGGTTTGCCCAATTTTGCCCGACTTCGAGCTATTGACCATGAAAATCTCAAGAAATATTGAAGATAGGGACTTGCTTCCTCAGACAAAATGGCGTATTAAAAAAAAAACAAACATTTGTGTAGAACATACAAATGTCAAAAAAATTACTTCCTGAAAAGTTATTTGCAAAAATTGATTCTCTGAAGGCTCTTACCAAAAAAATGACACATCTCTGTAAATATAAGAGATAGAGGGTCGACAGCAAAAATGTTTGTTTTAATATTGTCTAAAACTTTGCTCAAGACACCATTTTGCTACCTCGAAAAACAAAAATAGTAAATTTTTCAACGCCCGCATAAAATGGCTAAGCTCAGAAGAAGGGGCTTTTTAAGTGCACATACTTCTCCGAAGACACTATATGGCCGTTTTCGCATAAACTAAAAAAACGCACGTTTTGGCACTTTTAGACCACTGTGCGATCGAGGACAACAATGCCTTTAAATTTCACATTCGAGTTGCACAAGGAGCAGCCTTCCATCAGGAACTGCAATATTTACAGAACCACTCCGCTCAAGGGCATTGACGTGTTGATCGACGACGCACGGCTTCTTCGTTTGAACGGCCGCCTTGCGCAGTCACCTGTCACCTTCGACAATCGCTTTCCGATCCTGTTACCTGCCGATCATCATCTCTCACGGTTGATTGCCAGATCAATTCATCATCAAACTCTGCACGCCGGACCAACACAATCGCTCGCGACCATCAAGCAGCGTTTCTGGCCGATCCGTGGAAGAGACCTCGCTCGAAGAACAGTCCATCGTTGTGTGACATGTTTCTGTTGTCGTCCGCCATTACCTGCTGCGCGCATTACACCATCTAAAGTTTGGAACACTCGGGGCTGGATTACTGCGGGCCGTTTCTCGTTCGTCAACTCGCGGGAAGGGGCGCTTCGGTCAAAGTCTGGGTCACAATGTACGTGTGCTTTGCCGTAAAAGCCGTTGTGCTGGACATCGTCGCCGGGATGCCAGCTGCTGCGTGCGTCAATTCGTTAAGGCGCTTTGTGAGTCACGTCGATCGCGTTCGCGTTATACACTGCGACTACAGCAACTCGTTCGTCGGCGCGTTACGCGAAATAAAGGAGATCCTACTGCAACTCGTCCAGCAGCTGAAATTCAACGAATGGGCTACCGAATGCCTGGAAAGAGGCATCGAGTTCCAGTTCATACCTCCGAGAGAACCAGATTGTGGTGGGCTTTGGGAAGGTGAAGAGCTTCAAGCACCATCTCGCCAGGATCACCTTACCACTTTGACGATCTTCGCACAGCCGTTGCTGAGGCGGATAGCATCATGAATTCACGACCCTTAACTCCACTTTCCAATCATCCTGAAGACCTCTCTGTGCTCACTCCTGCACATTTCCTGCTGGGTGAACCAGCTTTCTGGCTTCCGGAGCCAGATCCCACTTCCAGGCGACACAGCGAGCCATGAACGACTTGTGGAAGCGCTGGTCCAAAGAATACATCGGTTTGCTGCATCAGCGTCCAGCTAAGTGCAGGAAAATCCCTACCGACTTCATGGTCGGTGCAATGGTTTTTTTGAAGACCGACAACGCTCCGCCCAAACAATGGCCTCTCGGGCGCGTTGTTGCGGTCTAGCCGAACAAGGACAACATCGTACGGGTTGTAGACGTTGGCACTCAATCCGGAATTCGTCGTAGTGCAACAACGGAGCTGTATCTGCTACCAATTGATGACATCCCAGGTGACTCAGTAGCGGGATCGATCAAGCCAACTCAGCTGACCAATGCACCTACCTCTTCTTCTGTTGGTTGAATGCTGCGCTTCAACAGGGGCCGTAATGTTGCGGCTTCCAAACAGTTACCTTTACACAACTTTACTAAATTACTTACTTGATACACGTACCTGTAATATTTGTAAATTGAAGGAACGAGTTTATTTACTCCCTCCGAAATTCACCTTAGTCAATACTACCGCGTGTGCATCGGTCTCCCACAGTCCGTTAGAACATTCTCCGCCGGTTTTCGCCCCTGTTGATGGTTTTGCCGACGGATTCGGCAGTGGAAAAATCAGGCATGTCGTGACTGGCCGAAGTTGGTTGGTTGTCTTTATTAAGGAGATTTTTTTGATAGTTAGATAATTCCAAGAACTTCCCTGAACTTCGGCAGAACTTCCCTGAACTTCGGCAGAACTTCCCTGAACTTCGGCAGAACTTCTCTGAACTTCGGCAGGACTTTGCTGAACTTCAGCAGAAGCTCCCTGAACTTTGACAGGCCTTCCCTGAACTACGGCAGGACTTGCCTGAGGTTCGGCAGGCCTTCCCTGAACTTCGGCATGAGTTCCCTGAGCTTCATCAGGACTTCCCTGATTTCCAAGAATTGAAATTAAATGACTTCCCTGAACTTCAGCAGCCCTTCACTGAACTTCGGCAGCACTTCGCTGAACTTCAGCAGGAGTTCCCTGAACTTTGGCAAGACTTCCCTGAACTTCAGTAGAACTTCTCTGAGCTTCGGCAGGAGTTCTCTGAACTTCGGCAGGAGATTTCTTTTATATGGCTTTCTCAATCTAGGGTAATCCAAACAGTCAGTTTTGCATTTCCCTGTTTGGATTACCCTAGAATGGGAAAGCCATATAAAAGAAATCTCCATACGTACCAGTCGAAAAATCTAATAAATTACTTCGGCAGGATTTCCCTGAACATTGGTAGGACTTCCCTGAAGTTCGCCAAAACTTCCCTGAACTTCGGCAAAACTTCAAGCACCATCTCGCCAGGAACCAGGAACTTCGACTGAACTTCTCTAAATTTTCGCAGAACTTCCCTGAACTTCAGCAGGACTTCCCTGAACTTCGGAAGGACTTTCGACAGGACTTTCCTGAACTTCATCAGGACTTGGCTGAAGTTCAGCAGGCCTTCCCTGAACTACGGCAAGTCTTCTCTGAGCATTAGTAGGACTACTGTGGACTTGGAATCTTGGAATTGAAGTTGTCTTTTCAGTTGTAGAATTATTATAATTATACAATAATATTGTGTTTACGAATATGTTCAAAATTTCAATACTTCTCAGTTTTCTAATTTGCAATGCTTGTTGGTAGTGGTGCATTTCGAATTTAGGTGTGGTTTGAATGGGTGTGGATTCAGTATCATCGGAAAAGCATTAACTTTCACAGTGATCCCGCTTTGACTCCGGCTTCGACTCCGGCTTCGACTCCGGCTTCGACTCCGGCTTCGACTCCGGCTTCGACTCCGGCTTCGACTCCGGCTTCGACTCCGGCTTCGACTCCGGCTTCGACTCCGGCTTCGACTCCGGCTTCGACTCCGGCTTCGACTCCGGCTTCGACTCCGGCTTCGACTCCGGCTTCGACTCCGGCTTCGACTTCGGCTTCGACTCCGGCTTCGACTCCGGCTTCAAATCCGGCTTCAAATCCGGCTTCGACTCCGATTTTACAAAATAATTAAAATTTTGCTACAACGAATTTCGGTTATTTAAGAATTTAAGACAAGATCATGAAAATAAGTAAAATATACAACTAAATGTTATGTACATTTAAGGTGAAAGTTAATGCTCTTCCGTTAGTTTTGATGCCGCACCCGTTCAAATCACACCCAAACCATTAAATTAATATAATTTGTTTGAAAAGGTAATCAAGTAAGTTGTACAAAATAGAGCTTTTTTGAGAAATATTCACACTTTTTGTGTTTTTAAATATTAGTACTAAGATCAAACTCGTTCAAGAATCTACTTAATCCAAATTACATTGGGATGCCTAATTTCGAAATAGAAAGAGTTTTATCGCGATATCAGCGTATCACGACATCGCTGCAGCACTAGTAGACATTTATGTTCTTAAGTGTTAAGTAGTGTTTTGGACTAAGGAAAATTGGTTTTGCCTAAATGTAGGCAAATTGTTTAGACTGTAATTTTGAATTCTCGTTGCAATTTACCTAATCTAACTCGAGTTCTGTGTTTTAATGAAGAAATGAAAATAGTTTTTTATTACTTGTATTCGAATCGCTGGAGGTACCTAGTCGTTCCATTTAATTTGAAAACACCAAAATCCCAGGAGAAGCGATGTTTTAACAGTGCCTGCCAGTTGAGACAAAAACAGAATTTTACTTTTTTTCCAACCATTCAACCAAGCCGAATGTGGATCAGCTTGTACAAATTTGTCACTCACTTGGGCACCAACCCGAGCCCAGCTTGCTGCTGCAAAACTTTCATATCTCTCTCTGCAATGGGTTGTCCTACCCTGCCCGCTCCGATATCGTTCCTGCAGGCAAAGAAACTTTTATCCCACACGCTTTGGTTTTGTTTTTCCTCGCTCTAATATTTGTATTTTTCGACGAAAATACGACCAGCAAAAAAAAAGCACTTGGTTGACGAGGGGATATACATTTTGTTTTTCAAATGAACTAGAAACATGAGTAGTTTGCAAATGTTGTCTTCTTGTTTTCCTCACAGCACGGGGGCCATATTGGGGTTCGTGGGGTAAATTGCACCAGGTAAGGAAATCAAGGTGGTTTCTCGCTAAAATTAAAAGCAACAGTGAATATCATGTATTGTCTAAATTCTCTTAAGCATTATTTAGTTGTTTATATTTGCAACATAGGGGAAATGGATGTAATGTCAGCCTAAATGCCCCTAATTTGGGCCCATACAAAAATTCAGCGATCGGCTAAATTTTCAATAGCGACCAAAAATATCCATTAGTACCGTCCCAATGACGCTTTCATCTAGATAAAATTAATAAATAGCAGATTTTTAGCGATGGGCTCAATCTTAGATCCATAGGCCATTTCCCCTACATGAAAACTTTGAAAACATACATTTAAAAGTGCTTTTAGAAATTGGTAAAATAATCTGGAAATGCCACTATTTGGGGCAACAATGGGACAATCTGACTCTCCTTGCCGTCTTATAAATGATGATGACCAATTGAGGCAGAAGAACGTCTTCGTTTTTGACAGCCTCCATTTCCGATCGTAGTTGTTCAAAGGTCCATGACCGCTTGATAGACTTCGGAACGTTGCGGGCAATTTCTGAAGAAAGAATAGAACGTAAACAAAGCTTGTTTACTAAAGGATCATTTTGCCCCGAATGTATGAAGAAAATTTTGTTGATCATAAATTAGAAATACATATTAAAACTTACCAGTATTTTATCAGAAAGATCTGATCTCAATCAAATGGGTGATATCTTTTACCGACGCTGTTTAAATCGCTAAAAAATCAATGCGAAGGACAAAATTACTCTACATCCAATGCAAACTGGTTTGTGTTTATAATTATATTATCTGCTAACGTAGAGCTATCAAATTAATACGATGTCCAAAGCAAACATAGGTTAAACATGTAGGGTAACTATTTTGTTGTAAACATGTATTTTCGGCTTAAAATGCAGGAAGTGCATCTTGCCCCAACGGTGCATGTTACCCCAGGTACCCCTACATCCGAATCATATTCCATTGTAAATGTCGATGGACGTCCTGCTGGGGGAGACGAACAAGTCCAGAAGTGAGAGGTTACAAACATTGTATCGCTCGGCTCTTCTGTGTGACAATTTGATGGGAAAAGAACTCAAATAACGAACTCGAAAGTTAAACACGGAAATTTACAAGCGAAACTCAAATAGAAATTCATCTGCATGGAGAGAGGTGAACAGACGGGGACGTGACTTTACGGAACAGAATCATCTCTGGTCCCCCTGGTGGGTGCAGTGGTGGCAGAGAACAACGAGTAAAACTTTCGCCACCCAACCGGGACAAGTTTGATAGATCGTGAATCTTTGGCTATGAACGTGCATGTTCTTGCTTTTTATTTTTGGGTGATTCCGACACTTTTGAATTTTGCCCGAAGAAGTTGAACGCTTGTTCCAATAGCAAAAGAAATTAAAAAAGGAAAGCAAACGCGCCTCGCAGCTACTTGGCCGGAAAAGTTGCATTCCGATTTGGTGGAACAGTTCGAGCAAAAGTTGCTCCATCTCGCACTCGGTAGTTCGATGCCAAGTGATGTATGAGGGAGTTCAATATTGGAGCAGAGAAGCCGGTTTCTTTGGATGTGGTTTTCTGATGGAATCGGAAGAAATTTATTGCAATCCCGGAGGCACTGGACGGTACTATCTCATATGGTTCGGTTGTGGGCAAAACAAAAATCAATTTAGACTTGGGAATTGTGGAATTAGGATTCCTACTTAGATTTCAAAGATTTGTATGTTGATTTATAGAGAAAACTGATGAATATTATGTCAATGTAAATTTTGTGTGTCATGTTTCAGTGGCTCGTAGGGTACCATAGCTAGAGGGGTGTAGCAAGTTAGCAACAATATATTTTTTTTAAAGTTTAAGATTCTTGAAAAATGTTCAAGCTTCAAATGCTCTAAGCCTCATCTTTTTTACGTAGGATTACGTCGTTCTCGTTTGGGAAGCATGCCAACCCAGGGAAATGTAACGAAATGGTACGAAATATGTCAAGCAATATGTCATTCGACAGGGAATAGATTCAGCATTTTTTTTAGTACAGTACAAATAGTGAAAATAGTTAAACAATTAAGAAGTTTAACGCAAATTTGAACACCAAAATTTCCTATACATGTGCTTAGATCATGAGGAGTATCACCTAACACAGACATCAATCGTTGGTATTAAACAAAACAAGCGAAAGCCCCATTTGTATCTGGACAAAAGACGTATTCACCTGGTGCACCACACAGCAGCTCAACTCAGACCACCAGTCGACCAGAGGAAAGCGAGGGGGGCGGCACATGTAAATCTAGCAAATGAATCTTCGAAAAACTTCTATCATTTTTCGCATCTACTTGCATCGCGTATTATCTTTTTGCAGGAAATCTTCAGAATCGTCTTCAATCTTCTTTCTTTCTACTCAGGGCCAACGTGAAAGATTTCTTTCCTCGGCGACTGCTCGCTTTTGCCTTGACCTAGGCTCAGGTCAAATTCTAGTCGACTTCCTCTATTTCCTTGTTGAGGCTCCACCACCAGAAGCTCATAGGTCTTTTTTTTATACAGGGGGGAATCTGCTCGCAGACACCTGAGAAGGAACTCAGGGTGTGGGGATGGGAGAATTTCACTCCCGACCCACTAAACCTTACCCTGTGCGCTTGGCCCTTGACCTCCCCGGAACCGCCCGAAGGCATTACTTCGTGGGAGGGGCCGCTGTAGCGCTATGGCGCCTCTCTAGCAATACTCTAACGATCTAGTCGGGCAGTAGGTAACTGCTGCTCGGCTCGCCACTGTCGTTGTAATACCGAAACTATGTGGGTGACCGCAGTCACCACCGCGCTCCAGTTCTCGGTGGTACCACATATCCTAGGAACGATGTTATCCGGACTGGTATCCGCTCCGCATATCGCTAGCATAGCGCTCGATACTGGCTCGAAACGTGGACAGGCGAATACAACGTGTTCGGCGGTCTCCTCAACACCAGCACATGTGGGGCAGATGGAAGTACTTGCATGTCCGAACCTATGCAGGTAGCTCCTAAAGCAGCCATGGCCTGACAGGAACTGTTTCAGGTGGAAGTTTACTTCCCCATGGCGCCTGTTGACCCAGCTTGATACAGAAGGTATCAGGCGGTAAGTCCACCTCCCCTTTGTGGAGTTTTCCCACTCCGATTGCCATCTCACGGTCGACACAACTCGCGCGTTGTTGCGCACCCCTCGAACGGTCCTCGCGTCATAGCACACCACATCCTCCTTAATGATAAGGCTGATTGGCATCATCCTTGCTATGACACAGACGGCCTCTCTCGAGATGCCACCCTCAAGCACATTAGCCTGTGTGTGCTCTCTAATTTCTGTCTGTGGCAGTCAATATTCAGTACCGCAGCCCACGCAGGGCCGCCGTATCTGAGGATAGATACTACGACCCCAGCGAGGAGCCTGCGCTTACTGGCATTCACTGCCGAGCTGTTTGACATCATACGGGATAATGCCCCCACAGCCATAGACGCTCTCTTGCAGGCGTACTCGACGTGGCAGCCGAAGCTGAGCTTATCGTCGAGCATAACCCCCAAGAGTTTTAGAGAGCGCACAGACCTAATTGTGCTTCCGCCGACTGTCAACGTCGCATGCTGTACTGACATGCGATTGTTGACTACGACCACTTCCGTCTCCAGTTTCCTAGTTCTCATCCATTCCTCCACAAGCCTGACGCAGTGGGCCGCTGTCAGCTCTACCTCCTTGAGAGATTCCCCGCAGACTACCAGCGTGACATCGTCGGCAAAACCTACGATTTTCACGCCTACCGTGAATTTTATCCTCAACAGTCCATCGTACATGACGTTCCATAACACCGGGCCCAGGATGGAGCCTTGTGGCACTCCTGCGGTGACTCTAACGCATTTTTCGCCATCTTCTGTGTCGTACGTCAACACATGATTCTGGAAGTAGCTTTCCAGAATCTTATACAGCCCTCCGGGAATTTGGAACTGGTGTAGCGAGCGGGCTATCACCCCCCAGCACGCGCTGTTGAACGCGTTCTTCACATCTAAGGTTAGCACCGCGCAGTAGCGAATGCCCCGTCGTTTCCGATGGACCACCTCTGCCGTCTGGATGACGTCGCGGATGGCGTCTGCCGTGGATCTGCCCTTACGGAACCCGTACTGGTTGCTTGACAGGCCGTCTACACCTTCGGTGTAGGCCGACAACCTGTTGAGGATGACCCTCTCAAGCAGTTTCCCAGTGGTGTCCAGCAAACAGATGGGTCTGTATGCTGACGGGTCCCCAGGGGGTTTTCCTGGCTTCGGAAGCAGCACCAGCTTCTGCCGTTTCCACGCATCTGGGAAGACGCCTACGTCCAGACAAGTCTGAAAAACAGAACGGAACATGTCTGGATTTTCCGCAACGGCCGCCCTCAGAGCCACAACTGGGATCCCATCTGGGCCCGGGGCCTTGCCCACCACCAGCGACCTGGCAATACCGCCAAGTTCACTGTTCGTCACTCTAGATACTTCTCCCTGACCCGCACCTGGGATCCGCGGCCAGGAGTCTACGTCCCTACGCGGGAACAGGAACCCAACGATCGGAGCCAGTACCGCTGGTGATCTCTCCGGGGGTGCCGTCACGCCGTGGGTCTTTGCCATGACCACTTTGTAAGCATCCCCCCATGGGTTCGTGTTGGCGCTGTGGCATAGGCTGTCAAAGCACGTGCGCTTGCGTCTGGCGATCTCTTTATTGAGGGCTGCCTTAGCCGCTCGAAGAGCGACACGGCGTTCCTCCCGAGATTCAGTCGTACGAGCTCGTTGCATCCTCCTTCTCGCCTGGAGGCAAGACGCCCTGAGGATAGCAATCAACTCGCTCCACCAGTACACCGGTCTATGGCCATGCCTGGGATAGGCTCTCCTAGGCATGGTTGTATCGCACGCCCTTGTCAGTGCTGCTACCAGTTCTTCCCCCGTCAGATCCGGGGTTATTCGCTCCCGCCTCAGTGCTTCGCCGAAGACCTCTTCCTCGAAGAACGACGTCCGCCAGCCTCGAGCGCAGGAAGAATTTCCTCCTGCCACTTACCTCTCACCTGGCCGCACACTGTACCGAATCGCCTGATGGTCACTATGAGTGTAACCCTCATCGACCCTCCAGTGTAGGTTGCCCTCCAAACTCGGGCTGCAGTATGTCACGTCGATGACGGATTCTGCACCATTCCTTCTGTAGGTACTGACCGAGCCGGTGTTGGATAGTACAACGTCCAGCTTAGCCATTGCCTCCAGTAGGATGCATCCTCTCTGGTTGGTGTGGTGGCTACCCCACTCCACCGCCCATGCGTTAAAGTCGCCCGCAATGACCACCGGTCTTAGGCCGACAAGTACCGCAGTGAGTTTGTCCACCATCTGCGAGAATTGCTCGATAGACCACCTGGGCGGAGCATAGCAGCTACTTAAATATACTCCATTAACCCTGGCGATCACGAATCCCTCGCTCGAGTTGGACACGACTATCTCCTGAATGGCGAAGCTCCCCATCGTGCATATCGCCGCCATCCCCGACGCGTCCGTGACCCAATTCCCGTTGCCGGTTGGGACGCGGTACGGATCGGAGATGATTGCGACATCCGCTCCCCATTCCACTGCCGATTGCCACAGCAGTTGCTGGGCAGCCGAGCAGTGGTTCAGGTTCAACTGCGCTACCTCGAACATGGCTGAGCATTGCTCTTTGCCTTAGCAGCATTGCTCTTGGCCCCCGGGCAGCGTGGGCCACCTGCCATGTGGTTGGTAGGGGTATTCCCCTTCTCCGCGCATATAGTGCACCTCGGCGGCTGTTGGCAACCTCCCGCCTTATGGCCCTCGGAGCCGCACCACCTGCAAAGCTTGCTCCTGTCGGTGTTCTTACAGTCACGGGCCACATGGCCCTGACCGAAGCACCTAAAGCAAGCCGTAACCGGTCGGGGAATACTAACGGGGCATGAAGTAGTTCGCCTCCTCGTGGTGTGCCCTAGAAACGCTAATTATCGAATCCAAGGGATAGATATTGTGGCTAAACGAACTACCGCAGAGAAGCCCTGCACAAACCCTCGTTGTGCAAAGGCAGGAGTGACGCCGGGTTCTTAGAGTGCTTAGCACACGCAGCTGGTAAGCGGTCACATCTGTCCTGTATGGGTTCTGGACAGTTGGCTGGCTATCACGTCTGCTCTAGAACTCAGGCGAACAACGAACAGCGAACAACAAGAGGAAGGCCCTGCACAGCTGCTCACTGTGCAGTAGCGAGTGTCACGTCGGACACAACATGACGTAATGCTTTCGGGCGGTTCCGGGGAGGGCTAGGGCCTAGAGCACAGGGTAAGGTTTAGTGGGTCGGGAGATAGCCTAGTCGGTAAAGGCACGGTATTACCAAGCCGGAGGCGGCGGGTTCGATTCCCGGTCCGGTCGAGGGAATCTTTCGGGTTGGAAATTTTCTCGACTTCCCTGGGCATAGTGTATCATTGTACTTGTCACACAATATACAAATTCATGCATTGGTACTGACATCGGAAGCTCTCAATTAATAACTGTGGAAGTGCATCTAGAACACTAAGTTGAGAGCACGCAATAAGCTAATATGCGAAAAGCAATAAGCTTGAAATGCGAAGAAGAAGAAGAAGAAGAAGAGAGCTACTTTTCCCATCCCCACACCCTGAGTTATCTTCTCAGGTGTCTGGGAGCAGATTCCCCCCTGTATAAAAAAAAAAAGACCGACCAGCCCACTCGCACCCTCCCTGCGGCTACCGCCTTTCTGGCCTCAGCTGCAGAGAGCCTGACGGTAGCCACTTGGGTGGAAAACAGTCCCTTCCTTAAGGTAATCGCTGTTTGCGGTACCTCAACTTGACACTGTTCCCGGAGCGCCGTGACTATCTCGGTCGCCTCCGTCACTTCGTTCAGGTCCTTGACCTGGATGGTGGTAGTCGAGTCTAGCGACTTCACCTGCACCCCAGCACCAACGACCTCCTTTGCCAGTTTCTGGTAGGTTGGTCCCTGGTCTTTAGCACCACGCTTGAGCACCAGGAGCATCTCGCCTGTACGAGTGCGCCTGATGCTCCTCACGTTGCTGCCCATCTCCACAAGGCGCTCGTCCGTTCTCATTTTCTTCAAGACTTCCGCGTATTTCGACGCTTCCGTCTTGAAGATGAGAGTTTCGCCCTTGTTCCTGTTCCGGGCAGCACTGCTCTTGGGGGCAGTTTTGTCCGGGAGTTTCGGGGCTTTCGGGGGTTTCGGGGGGGCGCCCTTCTTACTGCCCTGCTTCCCGCCCTTGGAGCCACTACTTTTCATAACTGAATTTCTATTGGCTATTCCAGCCCTCTTTTGCGGTACGTCCACTGATGCAGTGGACTGATGGGCCACCGCCACACATTCCACCTGTGCAGAGACTTTCCGTCTCTTAGGGCGTGCCGCGCCCTTTACTAACGAGGGTGAGGGCCGATCGCGCTTCTGTCCCTGCGTAACGGCAAAGTGGAGGGCCTCGCTGGACATCGTGTTGTTGCCCGCCAAGTTGAAGGCGTCCGTCTGGGTAGACTTCGGCTCCTTCTGTTCCGCCCTCTCTGCGACCTCTAGTCGCTTCCTAAGCCGCTCGTGGTCGTCCTGGGCCTCGTTTACGGTTGCACGGAGCTGTCGCAAGGCCTGCTTTAGGTCCTTCGCGATGTTGCTCTTCGTGCTCGTGAACTCTATGATGGCGTCGAGCTGTCCCGCGATTGCAAGCAACCTAGGGAGGGGCCCAAAGCTATTCATGGTTCTGATTAACCCGGGCCAGTCCTTCGGCTGCTCCTCCGGCTGTCCACCGATCTCGGCCGTTGTCTCTGCGTCGCGTGGAGATTTCAGCCGTTTGTTCGGCTCACTGTGTTGGGGAGATCTGGATAGACCACCCTTCGCGAACGGATTCGCGGTCGCCTCCTCGGCGACTTGTTCACTGGGGGTTTGGGGTTTTGTGCTTTTTTGATGACTTTTTGAAATCATCCCGACTGTTGGGTCCCCCTTAGACCGCTATCCTACCGTGCAAATGGAATAGTCGCTGATTGATCCCCATGGGTGCCTATGCGAGCAGTAAGGTCCATGACGAGGGTTGACATAGGCCTTCATGGGGCGTTATGTTCAGAGCCGGATCGCGTAAGACGGGAATAACTCAACCGAACCTATTCCCAGCGCAGCCCCAACTGGGTGGCACGGGAGGAACGTATTCTAAGGCTTGCCAGGGGTTTATGGGACGGAGACGAAAAAGGCATTAACTCAAACGTCGTTTCGGTCGGTTCCACCCGACTTTACGAAGAGGATGAAATACCTTGGCCCCAGCACGTAGCGTGGTTTATGATAAGTTTCCACTCTGTATCCTACATAATGCCAGTGTGTCAGTATACATACTTGCGATCTTACTGGCATCGATCGCAAGGCGCCGTCCGGCGCGTCCCCTCGTTTGTGGTTCGATTAGCCGACTGGATCGTTTCCAGGGTGCACCACGAGGAGGCGAACAACTTCACACCCCAAGCTCATAGGTCTACCTCTGCTGTGATGTCCTACCGGGTTCCAACCCACCGCTTGCTTGCAGATTTCGTTTCTGCTTCTTTGTAGTGTGTGGCCGACCCACCTCTACTTACAGCTTTCAGAATCTCCCCGAAATTCTCCGAAATTCTATGAAGTTCTCAGAAATTCCTCAGAAAGTTTGAATAGCAAGTTTGCGAAATAATCTCAAGTTCTCTGAAGTTCGCAGAAATTATTTAATGTTTGCAGAATTCAGTATCACCTAACACAGACATCAATCGTTGGTATTAAACTAAACAAGCGGAAGCCCCATTTGTATTTGGACAAAGGACGTATTCACTCGCAGGAATTCTTAGAAATCATCAGAAATTGTCTGGAATTCACACAAATTCCCGATAGTTTGCAGAATATCTTTCAAATTCGCAAACATTGTCTGAAGTTTGCAGTGTTACCGTTTGGGTACTTTTTCCTGTGGAAAAAAACTCGAGCAAAGCTACAGCAGTGTTACAAAGAGCGAGCACTCAACCAAACGAGACAGCAATCCACTAGTATACTGCTATTCGGTGCGCTCAAGTCTGAGAACCATGAAAGTTTGCTATCAATAATGATTGAACTAATGTTTGTTTGGTTGAAATTCGGCATTGCATCAGAAAATCCAGCATCATCCTGGAATCAATGTTCTCCTAATCACTGCTGTCTGGATTTGGTTCTTGACGATGCACTGAACCGCTCTGTGGGCGTGAAGTTCTAGAGCACGAAGGTTCTCGATAATCAACACCGACTTGATCTTACGATCGTGAGGACGTGACAGTCGGTCCCAACCCGAAAACGTTGTCTGTGGTATAAATAAATCAGTAGCAATAGCTTTATCTAGTTGAAGCAGTGCTACAACTGCTTCCTCACATGAAGTGAGATTTGCCATCTGGTTCGGGCCTCCTCCCGTCTCACGTGCCTCAATACGGATGTGGGATAATTTCCTTTTGGCTTTCAACTTGCAGTCATTCCATACTTTTGTAAATGAATCACATTAACAAACAAAATAAGCAGTAACACAATTCTGGCCTAATTTGAGATTTGGGCATGACTGTTGAAAGAAAGTACTGATCGATAATTTCGGAGTGATTCGAGATTCGAGTGTATCTCAAGGTGTATCTACTTTTGTAAACATTCAGTACTTACTTTCTGCCATCCAAACATAGACCGGATTGGTGGCCCCAGACTATTTAGGTTTTTGGTTAGCCCGATCCAGACGTCACTATTTTTTTTTTCTATTTTAATTCACTGCTTCCGCATGTGTCATGCCTTTGGCCACCAGAAAGGTATTTCAATGGAACACATTTTCCTTAAATCCTACGTTATTATTAAGCCTTGACCAGAACCTTAGCCATGGGCGATGAAAATATGGATGTCGGCATGTTCTTCAGCTCTTTCGTGACCTTGGCGATCAGCTGCTCCTCCGTTTTGGCCACGAAATTATTGGATCCTCCGTTTGAGGTTCGCCCAAATGTTTTCTATCGGTCGCAACTGGGAGACGTTGCGAGTGTTGGTGGTTGTTGCGCTTCGCCGGAAAGATGTTTTTCACCAGCACCTTCAGCCGCTGCTCCTGAGTGATTGCCTGCTTCAATGTTTGTCCTGTGGCTCCGACTTCCTGGCCCGAGGCGCGGAACGAAGAGGCTACCTTGCCCTTGGTCTTCCTCTTCAGCTTCTGCTGCACTTTATGGTCACGCAGCACCGTCGGGCGGATGGAGCCAGGCTTCCGTACGACGCTCTCGCCTTTCTCCAGAAGGAAGAGGATGTTGTAAATGCCGCATCGGCTATATCCGGCAGACACGAAGTACCTCACAATGTCCAACTTCTTTTGCTCCGGGGTGGAGCTAGCAGTACAAACAAACCATCAAGTGTAGTTTCGTGACTGCCATGGCTGCTGCAAATCAACTAATAACGCTGTCATTTTTTTCTGTACACAACAGGGTTGCTATGATTGGCGATGCATAGGGGGATTCACCACCAGGTGACAAGGTAATCGCGTGAGAAATCGGTAAAATCAGTCCATTTGGCCACTGGGTGGCCACTGAACCAGAAAAACCGAGGAATCCGCAGAACTTCCCAGAAACTCAGAGAAATTCTTTAAAGTTTGCTGAAATTTTTGAAAGTACGCATAGCTTATCTGCAGCTCGCAGAACCTTGCTGAAGTTTACATAATTTCCCAGTAGTTTGCAGAACTTCTTAAAAGACTGGCGAAATTTTCGTAAAGTTCACAGAAAGTTGGTCAAAATTCCCTGAAGTTCACAGAATTTTTCTCTCATACATAAGAGTCAATATTGATCACTCTAACAGCTTTGTAGACATCCTCTTGAAGTCCTGAAGATTTTCTCTACTAAGGCTTTAACTTCCACTCAAATTCCTTTGATCATCCTTTGGAAATTGTGAGCCTTTTCTACAAGTCCTGTGGATAAAATTTGCTCCTAGACATGTTGTAGACTTCCCCTAGATATCTAGATTTTGCTTGCATAAATTGGTGTGCATCCACTTCGGAGAATCCCTTTCCGATTTTGTCGATACCTTGGTCACTTCTCTTCGTAGTCGTCATAGCAAACAAAGAGGAATAGGCTGTAAGTTACAGTTTGCTGAACCCCACCTTTGTAACAGTTCCAGGAAATATTCCACTTCGAAGAGATAGCCTTCCTTTTTTTTTCCCTTGATTTGTTTTCCGTCGATCTTGTTTTCCGTGCTGAGCACCAATGCTACCGACGCCAGGGAGGCAACTCCAACACCTGGACTCTACTTATCGACCCATCAACTCATGAACCTGGGACCAACAGCTTAACTTCCCTGATCAGCGATGTTATGCCTCAGAACATCCCGGTGGCGCCGACTGGGATTGAACCCAGGCCTGCTGGGGTGAGAGGTAATCACGCTTATAACTACACCACCGGCGCCACTATCTCGTTCGTTGCTTCTATCAGGAGCGTTCTGACTATTAAATCGTCCAGGAAACTGCAATTCGTCCAACACCGTGAACAGTTCTTGAGTCAATTAAGATCACCCTAGAATTAGTTTAGCCTCAGAATTGTACCTGTTTTTTCCTCGGAGCTTCTGGTTATCATCGCTTCTGGGAGCTTCTTTGGTAGAAGTTCTACAGGTGTACATCAGTTCTACATTGTACATGAGGTCGCTTCATCAAAAGTCCCATTTGGTGATTTTTATATCTCGTTTCGTATTTCGTCCTCCAAACTGAATCCTTCATATCCACTTAGCAATAATGTATGTAACCAAATTATGAAAGATTTTGTACGTTAATAACTCCGCTGCTTCTGGACCAATTTCAATAATTTTATCATCAATCGATCAGAAATTTTTACTACACATCTGCTTAATTTAAGACTTTATCATTTATCCAAATGTCACTATTGAAAATCGCACGAATGCGCAACTGTTGATATGATAATTAAAATTATCACCGATTGCCTTCGAAAAGCGAATTCCCTAACACAGATTTCAAAGTTGAATTCCATCCGTTTTCACCAAACGGTGTTTATTCAATCACCGCGTGGTGAGTGGTGGTGTTCTCCAGTACACAACGAAAGGCTCCCCGCGAGCAGCTAGCTATCAAGGCTGCCCTCAACCGCTGATCGGATTCAGTTCTAAACACCAATGTGGTGGTGTCCGATCGTCGGCAGCACTACTTTCGGCGCGTGGCGTTGAACATTATTCTCCAGTACACAACGAAAGGCTGCCTGAAAGCAGCCAAGCGCGTCACACTGATTCCAAACAACTTACAGCCCACCAGCCTCATCTGTGTTTGACACCCTAATAGCTTAGCATTACTCAACCATCACGACAAAACGGTCCATAAATTTGTAAAAGAGTATTTTTTTGACATTTATCAAGTCATCAATCGGATGTCAGTTCCCATATCAAGATAGAGCTAGAATTAGGGCGTAACAGCTTTTGTAAACAGTGACTTCTTTCGATGATGTCTTGAAAATCAAGGCTCGCTCACGCAAATCAACATCACCATCAGGTAGGGTAAGACTTCCCCTACCCGACGGTAATGTTGGTTTGCGTATGGGTGCCTTGAATTCCTAAAAATCACCGAGAGAAGTCATTGTTTACAAAAGCTGTTACGCCCAATTCTATCTCTATCTATTTAGGTATGTTTAAATCTAACATACCATGTTCTTGAAGGCAGCATGGGGGTGCAATTTCAAAAACCAAAGTCGGTCGCGGCACGAAAGTGGTCTGATTTTGATCCAGAGACGATGGATTTTAATTCTTAATACGTCAATCGATAGGAATTTTTTCTACGAATGTGTTAAAATTAAGACCTTATCATTTTTCAAAATGTCACTATTGAAAATTGCACGAATGTGCAACTCTTGCTATGATAGTTAAAATTATCACCGATTTCCCTAACACAGATTTCAACGTTGAATTCCATCCGGTTTCATCGCGTGGTGAGTGGTGGTGTTCTCCAGTAC